TGTCGATGAGTGACAGAGCAGAATAAGGATGGAGCAAAGTGTGGATGCGCTGTCCTTGAAGGACGTTCAACTCGGTTTTGTTTATATTTTGCTTAGCCTATAATTTTAAATGAAAGATGTCGTATTTATTTATTTTTCTCTGCGACACTTTTCCTACTGTGTTAACAGAAAAATGTCAAAACGAATTTAGTATTTTGACAAGACGAATAAAAATAGCTAATAGGCTATTTTTGTACAACCTGCATTTTTTTTCTCTCTCTGCGACACTTTTCCCTATTGTGTTGTCAATGTTAAACGAATTGTATCCTGACAAGACGAATAAAAATAAGAAATACAATTTTTGTACAACATTTTTATTTTCTCTGACACTTTTTTTCTCTACTGTGTTGCATAAAATATTAAACGAATTTTGTGTCTTAAGATAATTCATATAAATTCAAGTCAAAGTAAAAAAAAAAAAATTTTAAATAGTCCCGCACAGACCTCTAGCCTACCTTCCGGTCCAGATATTCAAAGTGTGTGCAGAGTTCTTACATGAACCGAAAAGGACACCGAGGCAAAATTTCACTGTGTTCATTATTACTAATTAGCAAAGGACCACAATGACAGAGCTTGTACGTATTTCTCAGTGTTCTGAATCGCTTCAGCCACTCAAAGTTCAAACGTCTCAAACATTTTCTAGTCCCACTCAAGTGTTGCCTTGCATAGATGCACTTTATTCACACAAACAAAAAACTTAACAAAGGTGGTCTTTCTTTGAGCTTCAGTCTCATAAGCATATGACAGGGAGCACGAATGGAAAACTTATTAAAGCTTTCCAAGTTAGGACTTGTGCGATATAGTCATGTGTCTGCATGCCTCAGGGCAGAAGATGAATATTAAGAAGACTCAAAGAATGAAAGTTGTAAAAAATTCTCTCAGCAATCAAGTTCCTCCAGCCGGGCTGGTAAATATTACAGCAAGACTCCATGTAATTAGGGTGGCAGAATGAAGTGACAAAGGAATGGGCATGAAATCTCACAAAAAAAAGATTTCTGATCAAGTTCCCGTCCCTGGGGCCGTTGAGTGTGACAAATGAGCCCAAAGTTTGAGAAATTGCACATCATTATATGGTAATCTTGCAGGACTTCATGCCATTTACTAAAACTTAGCTCTTCTCCGGTCGGTTTCTTTCCAGCACTGCTCTTGGTGTGAATTCCAGTTTGTCCTTGAGGCTGAGGACCTGTGTGCTGTCCTGACCGGTCAGTTCCTCTAATTTTCTATCCTCCCTTAGCTCTGCAATGCCCCTCTCTTCTCCCGGGGCGTTAGGAGTTCCCCGGATAAACCACTCAAGGTGGTATCCAACAGCTCCCACCACAAAGGCCACTGGGAAGGTCACATAGGGCGCATAAGTGCGCATGGCAGTCCAGATCACTGGCCACATGGCTGCATAAACCTGAAAAAGCCAGTCCAAGTTCTAGTAGGTTATTTACCTTTGGCAAGCTGACAGTGTAGCCTTATTTTGTTATCACCAGCAACAAAATCAAGGATTACTTATAGACACATGCTTTCAAGAAGCTAAGGTACAATATGTGTTAAAATATATATATATATATATATATAGGGTGACCATACCTGCCATTTTCCCAGGACGTGTCCTGGACAGGATTAGTTTTGGCTTTGTTTTCATGCTTGCTGAAGGTAATAGAAAGCATAACCGTCTGTATCTTTCTTTGATGTCATACACCGATCGGTCTGCACACGCAAACAAAGCCAAAACCTAGATATTTTAGGCAATATAGAAATCCTGGCCAGGACGCGTCCTGGGAAAATGGCACGTATGGTCACCCTATATATATATATATATATATATATAAAATGGCAGCAGAAATTAAATTAGAGTGTTATTATGTTAACGTGTCCAACTAACGTTACATAACCTGAGCATTAAAGAATCACGTAACTGTTACAAGGGTAAGTTACCGGTGTCAAAGCATGTGTTTAATGGCGCAATAAAATACATGAATACATTTTTATTCATATATGTTCCTGAAAGCATAACGAGAGACTAGCTGACAACTTAGTGCGTAATATTTCATAAATTCACTAAATCATTCACGCGTGCGTTTATAAAATCTCATGACACACGTACCTCTATCTCCAGGCTATTCAACTTCCTGCCTTGGCTTCTTGCGTCACTGTAAGCAACAATCTGATTGGCTATTTTTGTACGTCAGAAAGACGTTCTCAAGTCTCATTCGTTCTGGGGGAAAAAGTTCTTCTTCTTCTTTCCAGTTTAACGGCGGTTGGCATCCAGCTTATTGGTGCATTACCGCCCCCTTCTGCTCCGGAGTGTGGATCAGATAATAGTTATCTATTCCCATTTCCCCCTAAAACTTACACATCACTCACATTGTCCCCTCACATTGGGGAAAAATTTCTATACAGGATGTCCTTTTAAAGCAATCCTGACACCTAGTGACCAATGTTGAAACATACTGTGAGCATTTGTCCTGAACTTAAAGCTCATTTTTGAATAATAATAATATTGTAATAATTTTTTATTCTATTAATAATATCATAATTTCAATAATATAATATTATTGTATCAATATTATTATTATTATTAATGTCCTCATTTGTAAGTCGCTTTGGATAAAAGCGTCTGTGAAATGACTAAATGTAAATGTAATAATGATAATAATAATAATAATTGTACAATACAGTTCAATTGCATATATAGTACATATATGTTATACTCAATTCAGAAACAATATTTTTTTTAAATGAAAACATTTATTTTAAAATTAAAAAAGGAAAAATGACAAATAAATGAGAAAAAAAAAACATGACAATTAAACAAATACAACAAAACTGAATTAATTTAATTACATTGTTTAATTGCAAGCAAAAAAGCAGCAGAAAAAAATATCAATATATAAGGAAAGGTTATAAAAGGGTGTTAGGAGAGCATAAATATTATCATAAAAAAACAAAGCAATTTCCTTGGGAAGGAAAACCTAAAAATATTTTAATTTCAAGCAATCATAATCAGGATTTTTTTTTGCTAATATCTAAAAAGTACAGAAATGTTCATACTGACAAAGAAAATCAAATGTAATTATACTTCTATGACATACTCCCAATAGTTAGTAACTAGTGCTAGCTGCATAGCTAATGTCATTTTATTCACATGTACCACTAATATGTTTGGCATTAGTTTAGTCTTGAATAACTGGCTGCATTACAGACAACCATATCACAATGGTAGTCTCTTGCGGTGAGTGCTTTAACTGGCTAGCTGGCAATACTTAATGAACATAGTTTTCGCATAAATGTGGTCAAATCAGGGTATGCTGCAGTGAAAGGCACTGTTGAGAGCGTGAAGTGTCATGCTGTACATTCAGAGTCAGATCATCTTCTGAATTGCTGATGCAGTCCTTCACATCAGTCTGGTAATGGCACCAGAAAGGAAGTCTTCGTAACTCATCTTCACATTGCCAGTCATGGCGGTGTCTTTCTCGCGGAATGCTTGGGTCATGCTCTGAAGCTGCGTGCACACCTGAATGAAGCGGTCCAGCTGGAGAACCCGGTTCACACCCCGCGCAGAGTAACGGTTCACCAGCTCCTGAATGAACTGAGGACTCAGATTGTAGCCCATCTGAGATAATGCTGGGAAATAAGCAACACATTGGTTATCAAAACATTACATTTACCATATACGTTTTTTTTTGTTGTTGAAAGAAGTCTCTTATGCTCTCCAAGGCTGAATTTATCTGATAAAAAATACAATAAAAACGGTAATACTGTCAAATATTATTCACATGTTAATAACCTTTTTCTATTTTTTTTTTGTATTGTTAAAATCTTATTTATTTCTGTAATGCAAAGCTGAATTTTTAGCAGCATTACTCCAATTTTCAGTGTCACATGATACATCAGAAATATTTCTAATATGCTGATTTGCTCAAGTAACATTTCTTATTATTTTCAATGATGGAAACAGTTGCTGCTTAATATTCTTTTTGTGAAAGAAACCATGATCCATCTCAGTCCGGATTCTTTGATGAATAGAAAGTTCAAAAGAACAGCATTTATTTGAAATAGAAATCTTTTGTAACATTATAAATGACTTTACTGTCACTTTTGATTAATTAATGAATCCTTGCTGAATAAAAGTATTAATTTCTTTAAATAAATAACTAAATAAAAAATAAGGGAATGCTTACATTGCTAACCTCTGGTTTTACATAAAGGTTTATGTTTCTTAAATGAGTCAGCAACAAAAAAAAAATGGAGGAGTTTTGGAAATGAACCATGTTAGAAGGACTTTTCTCCAAAAAAGCCTCCAAGGGTCCCTAAATCCTTCATTTTCTCTCCACAGGCCCCGTTAAATCGTTCTACTGTTGTTTTTGTATCCACCATGTTTTCAACACTCTGTCACTCACCAGTAATCAGACATACACTTTCAGACCTATTCACATCTTTATAATGGCTTCAACAATCGCTGCAGATGAATATGCTCTGGCAGTCACGAACAGACTTTTTCATACAAAATCAATGAGTATAAAAAAGACACTGCAGGATACCAGCTACAATTTTTGAGGTTATTTTAAGAGCAATTTTTCATGACGTCTAATAATGGCTTATTTAATAGCACAGGATTAGATGAAAAAAGGGGTTCACAAGCTCAGCAACTGTCTTTTCCTTGCCTCTGTGACTGCAACACCTCGTGTGTGTGTCACCGAACTAGAGCTGCACGATTAATCGAAATTAAATCGCAAAGGCGATAAATTGCGATTAGGCAGAAGCTGCGATTGTCATGCGTATCTTTCAGCGAAGCACGGTTCTGTGATCAGCAGTAAATCTCCATCCAAAGGCCAGAGGGCGCTCTCGCACGGAAACTCCAAATACGCCTCGCAGAAGAAACCCGGTATTTTCACGTGCTTTCAGATGGAGCAGCATTTATTACACAGAGCCGTAGTTCACTGACGAGCTACGCAAACAGCTTTCATAATCGCAGAACGATTTCTTCGATTTCATAATCACGCGATTAAATCGTCTGCGATTATGAACGCAATTTTGCATAGCTTGTCAGTGAACTACGGCTCTGTGTAATAAATGCTCCATCTGAAAGCATGTGATGGAGATTTACTACTAAACACAGAACCGGCTTTACTGACAAAATAAGCATGACAATCACATTTGATTAATCGTGCAGCCCTACACCGAACCCTTCTATATTTAAACAACTGTTTTTTTTCCTCCTGAAAATCTGACTAATTCGTGTTATTTGTAATTATGTTTTGTCTATTTTGCAAATTCCTGGAACCATGGGCACTAAACATATCTCTTTGCAAATTCCAAAGATAAGTGATATGCTACGTGACTCACTTAAACATGATTTGAGGAAATACACATAAACGCATGTTAGCTGATGAAAACAGTGAAAACTTACTGTGGTTAGATTTAGGTTGTGATTAACACATTGACCAAGATTTGCTATAGCACAGCCAGAGCACAAAAGTAACACTGGTACCAAGCGACAAATGTGAAAACAATGAACTTTCGCAGGCAAATAAAACTTTTTTTTTCAGGAACTACAACACAATATGTGTCATCTCTGTCAAATTATAAGAATGACAATCTGACCCTCACTGGTACAGTAAGTATGTTACAAAAGCTGATTCAAATTATGCAGTTTTTTTTTATTATTATCCAGAATTTATATGGAGATACAATATTGTTCAAAAGTTTGGGGTTTACACGGTCACAAAAAAATTATAATAATTTCAAATAATGCTGTTCTCATGAATAATAATTTCAAAAAATGCTGTTCTCATGAATTTTCTATTCATCAAAGAATCCTGAAAAAAGCACCACAGCTTCCACAAAAATATAAAGCAGCACAACTGTTTTCAACAGAAATATTTCTTGAGCACAAAATCAGCATACACATTGTATATTACATAAAATGCAAAATACAGTTTATGGACTGGTAAGACATATTTATGGCCAGCGAATTTGACCCATCACTGGCAGGTATGTCAAACAAGTACATTTTGGAACCTGAATACAGCAAGGGAATGCTGGAATCTGTCCTTAGTGACCGTGACTGTTGTCATAACAGTGTGAACATGTGGCCTTTCCTGCAAACGTGTTATCTTGGGTCTCTCTCTTGACCTCTAATTTACTCACCCTGGTGCATCTCATTGCTGTTAATTACATATCTCTTTGCAAATTCCAAAGATAAGTGATATGCTACGTGACTCACTTAAACATGATTTGAGGAAATACACATAAACGCATGTTAGCTGATGAAAACAGTGAAAACTTACTGTGGTTAGATTTAGGTTGTGATTAACACATTGACCAAGATTTGCTATAGCACAGCCAGAGCACAAAAGTAACACTGGTACCAAGCGACAAATGTGAAAACAATGAACTTTCGCAGGCAAATAAAACTTTTTTTTTCAGGAACTACAACACAATATGTGTCATCTCTGTCAAATTATAAGAATGACAATCTGACCCTCACTGGTACAGTAAGTATGTTACAAAAGCTGATTCAAATTATGCAGTTTTTTTTTATTATTATCCAGAATTTATATGGAGATACAATATTGTTCAAAAGTTTGGGGTTTACACGGTCACAAAAAAATTATAATAATTTCAAATAATGCTGTTCTCATGAATAATAATTTCAAAAAATGCTGTTCTCATGAATTTTCTATTCATCAAAGAATCCTGAAAAAAGCACCACAGCTTCCACAAAAATATAAAGCAGCACAACTGTTTTCAACAGAAATATTTCTTGAGCACAAAATCAGCATATTAGAATGATTTCTGAAGAATCATGCGACACTGAGAACTGGAGTAATGACTGCTGAAAATTCAGCTTTGCCACCACAGGAGAAATACACTGTAAAATATATTAAATAATAAAATAAATAATACTTTACAAAATACAGTAAAAACAGTAATAGTGTAAAGTTTACACTATTACTGTTTTACTGTATTTTGATAAACGCAGCTTTGATGAGCATAAGAGACTTCTTTCAACAACAGTCAAAAATATACACTACCATTCAGACTTTTGAATTGTATAGTAGACATATGTGGAATATTCCTCAAATTAAACCACAAAAATAAAAATATTCACAATTCAAAATTTCTTAATATTTTTGTGACTGTCTTATGTTGTACTATTTTGTTTGTCAGAAATATGCAATTTATATATATCTGTCCTTAGTGACCGTGACTGTTGTCATAACAGTGTGAACATGTGGCCTTTCCTGCAAACGTGTTATCTTGGGTCTCTCTCTTGACCTCTAATTTACTCACCCTGGTGCATCTCATTGCTGTTAATTGAGCCGGATCGGTCGCGGTCGAACTGTTGGAATACTGCCCTCCACTGCTGCAGAAACGTCCACAGTGCAGAGAAACCAAATACATCTACACGTCCCGTTTTGGTCTTGTCAAACATATCTGGAAATGAAGACAAAGCACTGATTTTTGCTTCAGTTTCCTTTGGCACTGGAGATGTCATCAGATGACTTCTATTTTTGTATTGTTAATGTGACACTGCAGCATTCTGTTATTTAGTTATATGGTGATATAAGCATCTATTCGGTAATTTAGCCGCTGTCAGGAGGGTTATGTTAACAATGGTAACACTCACTGAGCATCATCATGCAGGTTTCGTCATTGAAAGAGGAGTTGTTGGAATTCATGAGTGCTTGCTTCAGTTCTTTCGCGTTAATGTAGCCACTACGATCTGTATCCACAGAACAAAACCACTGGTAGGCCTCAGGGTTCACACCAGGAGGAATGGTACCTACAACATGAAAACAGACTACATTAGTGAGTTAGATGCAAATCAAATGTATTTCTTCATGGTCTGTTGATATGAGATAATCCATTCAGCTCAAAACAAATCATTTAACCATAGCTATCCGCAGGCCTAAAATAGTAGAAGTAAAAAAATATTACTATTTACTTATTCCCATATCAACCTCAGCAAAACAACGATAGACATGAAACATCACTTATAATTCTTTCAAAGAAATAATATAAAACTAAACTAACTAAACTAAATTATTCTCGAACAGACCAAAATATTTAAAGGGAGATGGTTACATTAAAACATGAATTTTAACATCCGATGTTACATTTTAAAGTTAAATTCACTATTGTTTTATAAAGAATTGTTCTACAGTCTATACAGTATTTAATACAATTACATCAGAAGTAACTGTAATTAAATTATAGAAAAATTAGGAGTAATCCCTTACTTTACTTTTTCAAGGGAAAAGTAATTCAATTACTTTAATAAATTACTTTACTAAAAATAGTAATACACCCAACACTGATATAATATTACAGTTTTTATTAATACTTTAAATAATTTGTTTTCATTATAATTTATAATACACAGTTAAAGTTTTAGCAATTTTGCTGTGTTTTTTGTTTTTGTTTTTTTATGTCTATATAGTTTTTATTTTAAGTTTTAGCTCTTAGTTTGAGCTATTTTAGTACTTCAACTTAAACTAAAAGAAAATGAGAAATGTTGTGTTTGCACTGCAACAAGCTAAAAAAAACTTCATAAATAAAAGAATTTTTACTTTTTTAATTTCAATTAATGTTTATTTAAAATATCTGGTTAATGATAATATCCCTGGTGTATACAGCTGGGATTGAATTAGCTCATTTATATTCACATGTGGATATTTATGTACTGAATTCACCTTGGACCCCTCACACCCAGCCCACTCTCTCTTCGAACTGTTGCCTTCTGGTCGGCGCTACAGAGCACTGACCACCAGAACAGTCAGGCACAAGAACAGTTTTTTCCCACAAGCTATATTCAGTCTGAACAATTAATCTTATACACAGTTAAAGTTTTAGCAATTTTGCTGTGTTTTTTGTTTTTGTTTTTTTATGTCTATATAGTTTTTATTTTAAGTTTTAGCTCTTAGTTTGAGCTATTTTAGTACTTCAACTTAAACTAAAAGAAAATGAGAAATGTTGTGTTTGCACTGCAACAAGCTAAAAAAAACTTCATAAATAAAAGAATTTTTACTTTTTTAATTTCAATTAATGTTTATTTAAAATATCTGGTTAATGATAATATTCCTGGTGTATACAGCTGGGATTGAATTAGCTCATTTATATTCACATGTGGATATTTATGTACTGAATGGAGCAGTTTCGGATGCAGCGTATGCATAAATGTGCAAAAAGTAGTTCATTACGTGCCAAATGACAGCGAGATGATGAGGACAAGCAGTCCTACAGGTCAGATTTGAAGAACATACTGGAAATGGGTTCATTGTGAACAAGCATGGGTTGTCAGCGATGTGTCGTCTCGATCCCAAGAGGGACAAGAATAAGTTGTGCAATTTGGTGAAGCGCAGATGGTCGGTCACTGTATCCCTCGGGAGGGATAAGCACTGTTCAGAGGACAGTCTTTGAATCTGACAGCCTTTCCCACAGGACATTACAGAATACTTACCGACATAAACGTGGAAGGACACATACACACGAACCCCTTCGCTCAGAATTACCACACTCATCATTCTAATTCTCCCGTGGGCACATTCTGTACCAGATCAGTACAAGCTGCTTCTGCCAACCTGCAGTGTATCAGCATCAGTCATTCAGTAAGGGGCATATGACACAGCTGCAGTGCAGGAGGATCAAGGACCTTGTCTGCAGCACCTTCATAAATTTCTATCTTTCGTATTTTATTCACAGCCCTCGGCCACTGCACGCCTGATGGAACGGCAGCGGCTCCCGCTGTCTTAGCTGCCAACCCTGACACTCAGACATCATCAGTCAAGCCAGCCTGAAGCTGCTGACTAAAACTCCTGAGACCATGTGGAAAAATTCTCCTGCTGGACCAACATCTATTACTGTGCATTTGCAGATGTATGAAGCTGTGGAAAACATTCTGATAAAAAAAAAGAAAGTATATATATCAAACCACATTCCTGATCCTCCACATTCCAAATCCATAATCTCATTCCCATGAAATGACATAAATGCTATTTGCTTACATTATTACATATAATTCAGTCATTATTAAAAACCACTTAAGTGTGCAGTCTATTAACCATAAGGTGAGAAACTAACATGATATATGAACTATTGTTTGGGGTCAGTAAGATTTTGTTTTGATGTTTTTAAAGATGCTCACCAAGATCAGTAATACTGTGAATATTATATTAGAATTTAACATTTAGGATTATTATTATTATTAATATTTTAAAATGTAATTTATTCCTGTGATGACAAAGCTGAATTTTCAGCATCATTACTCCAGTCTTCAGTGTCACATGATCCTTCAAAAATCATTCTAATATGCTGATTTGCTGCTCAAGAAACATTTTTTATTATTATTAATGCTGAAAACAGCTGTGCTGCTTATATTTTTGTGGAAATCATGGTACATTTTTCAGGATTCTTTCATGAACAGAAAGTTCAAAAGAACAACATTTATTTGAAATAGAAAATGTTTCAATGTAAAAGTATTATCTGTCACTTTGATTTAATTTAACTGTGTCCTTGATGAATAAGTATTTAATAAAAAAAAATTTAAAAAAATTCTTACTGACCCCAAACATTTTAACAGTAGTGTACATAGTGGCCCTAAAATGTATTTTGATACTTAAAATCATATCTAGAAATTTCTATGAATTTTTTTGCATTTTTTTCAAACACCTGATGTAATGCAGCTTATGCTAAATTTCTTTAAAACAAATCCCATTTAGTGATTAAATGTAATGACATCCATACAAGTTTGGCATACGTGTCTAAAAATACTTTTTGGTACCACTGTAAACACACACACACACTTATAAATAATTTAGTTATATATACTCAATATGATACTCAGCCAAATTAAAACAAAACAGAGTTACACGTCTCTAACCTGCAGGTGCCTGCTGACTATATGGTCCTCCCTGAGATTGTCCATAGCCTCCGTAAGGACTTCCTGGAGCTTGGCCCCCACCGTACGGTGCTCTTGGACCAGGCTGACCATAAGACCCGCATGGAGCCCCTCCACCATACTGTTGCCCTGGAGGGGCACCGCCATAAGGTGAACCATACTGTCCACCAGCAGGACCACCTCCATACGGTGCCCCTGGAGACGGGTGGTGTTGGGGAGTGTTACCACCGGGGCCCGGATAACCCTTTAAAAACAAATAATGAAAAGTATGGATTGCAATAAACATGAGTAACTTGAAATGCTGAACTGCAATGAACAGAGAACAGAGAAGCAGATGTGGTTAAATGGCATTAACAAAGGCAAATATGTCACCAAAACAATAAATTAAATCAAAGTGTTTAGGTAAAAATGTGAATTCTGTCATCATTTACTCATCATCACGTTGCTATTTTTTTTTTTTTATTCTTCCGTGGAATACTAACATTTATATAGTATTACTTTTATTATTATACTGATTTTCATATAATATTTATAATATTAACATAGGATATATTTTAGGCAGAATGACATTTAATCAACATTCAATTTCATGGCATTTATTTTTTTCATTCAATGAAGTGATTGGAGACTGTGTAACGTCTTCTCTTTTGTTTCACGTGTGTTTGTACGATAACATGATACTTACTTGTAAACTTACTTGTAAATTTTATTATTATTGTTGTAATTTTACACCAGTAGAAACCGGTTGAAACAACGGTATATGGTAAAGGGTAGGGTACATCTAAATGTGACAAGTCTCTATTTTGTATCTTTGTTGTATGACATTATGTAAGATAAAGATGTAAAACATATGGTCATTTTATACATTATGATACGTGACTGAACAGCACTCTCTCATCATACACACAAATAACGTTACCATTAAATGTTTCATATTAGCTACAGAGCTAACCGACTAGCCTAAAAAGGCTTTCTACAAAGTTTACGCGATCGGAATCAGCATAATTATGCACAATTTCCCTGTACACCAACACTAAAAGTTTAGACCGCAATACAAATATGCAAGAATCAAATAGACATACAAGATACATTTAAATGTAAAATATCTAAACCCGGAAGACAGACTTTACCTGTCCGTATTGATAACTCATTCCGCGGAGTATCTTAGCAAATGGAGCGATTTGGCTATATTTATTAAGGCCCGCCCCCTAAAGCTGATTGGTGCGTTTTCACGTTTGTCAAAAAGCAGCCTGGTATTTTTCATCTGATTGGTTAAAACATGGAAAATTGCTCATATCAGAAACTGTGAGTCACTCTGTTGATGTGGAATATTTTTGTTTTAGAAACCATATTTGGAGGAGGATGGAGTTGTTATATTGAGGCAAGAACAATATTTATTACATTGTTAATGAGTGGTTGAGGATTTTCATGACATCTCTTGACTTTGATAAAATGTTGTCTCTCCTCATGTTAATGGGAGACCAGGGCTAGTAGTCACTTTTTTTTATTTTTTACTTTATTGTTGTCCGTTTGTTGAACAGACACATACTGAAAAGGCTACAAAAATTGAACATTTCCATCGTTACTGGAAAGAGAGAGAAAAAACACTGACCTTTTGTGACAATATACTAATGGTTATTATTGTCATCATTAGTGGAACCTGTCATTAATTAACCTATTGATGCCTTTCCTCCATTATTTTAAACCATAAAATGATTATAAACACAAAACAACTGATGTAGCAGCAATACTAAAAGGCATCATACAAAACATGAAACCATTGTTTGCCAACAAACGTTGCAATTCATAATCTATATATATACTTATTTGTCTCCATTTAAAACATATGTGAAAATGTACTCCAATAAAATGTTAAGATTTGCTCAGACCTGACATTTAAAAATATAGATCCTGTGTGGAGGGGAGTGTTTGTCTTCATCTCTGTTTTTCTGAATGTTTCTTCATCTCTTTGTCCACATTGTTTTGAACTATGCTGTATAGCTGTGTGTTGTGATCAGGGCCGTCCCAAGCAAGGACCCCTGGTTGCAATGTCTTCATTGTCAAACTCCAAAACTAGTTTATTTTAAATTCTTAAAAATGCTATTATTTTATTTCAAAAAGTTAATAATTTTATTTTATTGACAAAATATTTTAGTTTGTTTTTGTATATGTTTTTAATTAGATTAGATATCATTTTAAGCTGTTGTATGGTCATGTTACAACGTACCCCCCAGATGTTACAATGTGCCACCTATGGGGTACGTTGTCACAATTCACTTCCATTCTTTTGGGGTAAATAAAGAAAAAAGTATACACCATATGAAACCAAACCACATATTTGTAGACAAAATATAAACTCTGAACCCCGAGTGGATTTACAAAAAGTGAGAAAGCCAAAAATGTGTTGTGCCCCGCTATCCCCTACACATGCAAAGAGTGCATGTTGCTGTGGTTTCGGGTGGTTGAGACCCTTGGACCAACCCTTCAGCGGTATTGCTGTTTGCTCAGGCACTTTAAAACTTTCTTGGTAATGAGGTAGAGTATCTCACAAT